ATCGTGACTATGCCATGAATTTGATATGATATAACATGCAGGGTTTCTTCCTGATTAACCAAAAGGATGCATCTCGCTGTAATTATCATCCTTCATTTAGCATTTGGAGGCCACTTACTTACCCATTTGGGCAGATACGGGCTGTCTCTGGGCTGTGTGCAGTCACCCCACGGCTGTACCCCTCCGGGCGGTACAAGTGTCTCTCAGCCCTTGCTGTCATAGCCTTGATTCACCCACCAATTCCCCACCCATCCTGTCTCATCCTCCATCCCGGACCTTCTCACGCATTCATTAGGAGAACGCCTTTGCCCAGCTCCTGTTCTCACCCCACCTGGGGGTGGGGTTGGTGTAAGCCCTGCCCCAGGTGGGTTTGGGGTTAAGCCCTGTGTGGTGTGTGTGCACGCTGCCTGCCCCACTCTGAGCGGCACTAACTCTGCTACAGTGAACACTGACATCATCTTTGCTTAATTTTTCCCACTTTTTTGTTTCCTTTCTGAAGTTTGATTTCTTTCTGGGAGATTGTGAGATTAGCTATACTTTACAGGGAGGCCTGGAATGAAGGTTTTGTTGTGCATAATGGTGTCTTTTCATTATTATTCTTTTTTAAAGGTAACACTGGGTTCCCAAGGTGCTCCTTCCTTCCCCCTCCCCTTCTCCCAGTATTTATAATCCAAAGAGCCATTGTGGTTGTTCCTTACATGGTGGTTACAGTAGTTTGAGTGTGTGTAGGGATCTGTATGCTTTGTTTCTCCATCTCTCATCCCATCCTATTCTGCAGTATAAAGCTCTTCTCACTCCCACCCCCAAGAAACCCTTTGGGCTTATTCCTGCCTTCTGTTCCCTCCCTCCCCCTTTTCACCACTGATTTAGAAAAAGTTGCTTATTGGTTTCTGGTACCTTCTAGGTGAAGAGACCCATTGTCTATACGAAGCTGTCCAGTGCCATCTTAGATGCCCTCTTGAAGTGGAAGGTGGAGGCCAGGCTGAGGTGAGCTCCTAGGGCATGTTGACCTGCCCTGTCCAGGTCTCTCGGATGCTCGAGGGTCTCTCAAGTGGCACCAGATACCTCAAGTAGGCAACAGGGTCTGTTCCCAGTGCGTGTGTCTGCATGGACATGTCTACACCTAAACAGAAATGGTTTTGAACTGGGCCGGTGTCTCCCTTGTGGCCTTGCTGATGGAGTGTAGCTGTGTGACCCCTGTGGGAGTATCTCTGCTGGAAGTGGACAGTGGGAGCTGTGCAGCACTTCATGGACATGTAGAGTGGGTGACCTTTAATGTCCTGATCAGATCTCCAGGCTTTTGGTTCCCCACGTGTGGAAGGGGTGGCACAGAGGGTAGGGATGGACGAGAGCCCCTTTCCCAGCAGGATGAAAACTCGTATGACATTCAAACTGGGATAAATAATCAAACCCTTGCTTCTCATGAGACACATGACATTTCAAGGAAATAGAAGACATCATGTGAATTTTGGACTACTTAAGATAGTCAGTTTTCAAACAAAAAGGCTTTTTAAGAGCCAAATGGCTCAGCTGAATGAGATCAGTGTACAGCCTGGAGCCCTGACTGGGATGAACTCTGCTCCATTTATCCCACCCCTCCATGCAGGGGGTTGGAACTGAGTCTGTGGCTTGCATGGAGTTTGTCCAACCTCAGCTCTTCAGCCCAGCTTCAGCCCTCTGTAGTCCTTGCTTAATGAGCAATTACCATGACTGTTGTACCAGCCTCTGGAAGCCAGTTTCTATACAAAGGTGTGGAGCAGGAAACAGCACTGAGGGAGACCCACCAGACCTGAGCCCAATGGAGAAGCAACTAGGCTGAATCCTTCTCCAAGATCCTAGCTTGTACAAGCAGATGGTCTCCTGAAACCTCCCTGCCTGGATTGGTGCTGGGGGATGGGGAGAATGGCAGATGCTTTCTGATGCTGTATTTCAGCTTTTAGAGAAAGGGAAATAAGGATTATATAGAGGAGAAAAGAGAGGTCTTCATTCCCACCGGGGAGCCTCTAGCTTCTGGTTCTCCTGAGGCAGACAAGGAACAGGGTGCCTATAGTTGCACTCATGGGAGAAGAGAATAGAGCTGTGAACGTGCTTCCTGTCATCATCTCCCTCACTGGCCAGGCTGGCTGGTGCTTTCTGCCACCACCCTCCTTGCGTGTTGCCCTTGCCATAATGCTCCCCCTTCTTGCAGTTTCCACTGGCCCTCAGTAAGCAGTTGTGTATCTCTGGGGATCTTACTTCATTTTGGAACCTACTTTAAGTGACACCTGAAATGGTTCTGCTCTGCGTCCCTAACACTGGGAAAAGCCCTTTGGCAGCAGCAGACTGTGGTCTTGCAGCCTGAGATGGCACAGCAAACTTGACCTGTGAGAAGGACCTCAGCCAGTTCCTTACCAGTCCCAACCAGTGACATCCCTCTGCAGTGGTCCGGTACCAGCAACCGAAGCGAGCGTTTGTGAAACAGTAGCGTGTGAACCTGCCTTGTGATCAGCAGCCAAGTGGGCTGCGTTCCCTCAACAGCCTCCACTGCTTGAGCACTGTGGTGGTGGGGAAGGGTTGTCTCCCTCCCTGCCCCCCCTTAGGCTTAGCTGGGAAAAGACCCAGCAGCAGAGCTGGGGAAGGGAAGGGCTGCGGTGCTGTGTGGCTGCCAGGAATCTGAACCCTCCAGGCAGGTCTTAAGCTCCAACGAAGCTTAGTAGGGCTGCTCAGCTCAACTCAGCTCAGAAGGGGTCTCTCCCTTGTCCTGTGATCTAGTACATCAGCTTTGTCACCGTGCCCAACTCGTTTGCAGATCTTCAGGGCTGGGTAGGTACCATGCAAGCAGAGGAGGAAGAGGCAGAGGGCCTCGTCTGCCCAGAGAACTAAAGCTGATGAGAGGGTGAACATTTTATTCCTATGTTCCTCCTAACTAATGAAACAGCGGGTCTTCAGAATAGGTCTACCTACATTTCATCTGCTACATAAAAAGCCTCTGGAGCATTTCCAATTTGTTAATCATGGGGGAATGCTGCTCCCAAGATATATTTTGCATTGAGTCAAGGAGGATCGGGGTGGAGACAAGGATCTGTAAAGCAGGACCGACCTACCCACTCCCACCTGCGTGCCTTAGCAGTCATGCTCCATCTTGTGCTGTTGGTGATGCAACGGATGGTTCAAGCAGTGCTCAAAGCCCAGCCCAAATTTAGGAGTAGAAAGTGAACCCACCCAGCTCCTTGTGGTTAGGACGTACGCCTGTGAAGTGAGGGAGGTAGGTTTGAAACCCCGAGGCTGATAAGGAAATTAATTCAAGCATCTCCTTTGCTGGGCAAGTTCCCCAACCACAGAGGCAACGTGCGAAAGGAGCAGGCTCTGTCCAAAGGGCAGATGGAGGAAGCACTCCTGCAGCACCCACTGAGAAACACCAGCAGTTGGGCTCAACCTGAAAGCTTGGTCAGCCCTCTCTAGCCCAATTCTGCAGACTAACCCTTGAGGGACCAAGCAGAGCTCTGAGAGGGATACTCTATTCCTGTCAGGAACCAGGTTTCCCCAAACCAGGAGGTGCTTCAGTCAGCAATCTCTGGGCACAGATAGTGCCTGGGACTGTTTCTACATTATGACCCCAGAAACCTCCGTCTTCCCCATTCTCTGATGAAAAGGTCAGCAGCCAGCGATGGTGGCAATAGCATTCTGGGTGTTCTGTCCATAAGGGGCCACTTAGGCGAGTCATTCTAACACCAACAAACAAACCCTCTCCCCTGTGGTTAAATAGATCACTTTGCTCCACACCTTCAGCTAAAAATGTTCCTTTGAAAAAATCCTGGGCAGAAACAGAAACGAGTGTGGATCCAGTGACAGCAATCCCAGCCCTCTCCAGAGCTCAAGAACTCATCCTGGATCCAGTGGTGTACAAAGAAACTGCCACCAGGCTGTAGCCTTAACTATACATCGGTGAAGCTGATGTACAATGTGAAGGTTTAGCTGCTCTGAACTGGCCTCTGGAAACTTACTGATCTAACACAGGGTTCCTCAGTAACTGACCGATTCCCATCAGATCTCTAGAAACGAGCACCTTCCCACAGCCGCGCTCCACAGAGAGCGGGCAAGTCACGTAACTGAGAGTGTAAAAACGGCTGGTTGCCTACAGGAAAAACACAAGACCAGATGTATTTCACACAGTGTTATTCACACATTTTTCATTTTGATTTTTTACAGTATATACATGTGAACATTACATTATTCAATATGAGCCACCTGGAGTCAAACCTAATCAAACTGGTCCATAAACAATCTATATCAAAAAGCGATACTTGAGCAAAAAAGTCTAGTGGTTCTACCCAAAGCCTAAAATAGCTGAAAGGAAAACCAGTGATTTTCACGTTCCTGGATAGAATTTGTGCAAAATGATTTCAGGAGAGTAAGTGGAAGATTATGTTCAAGATACTGAAAGCACGAAGGATGACAGATATAGGACTGTTTAAATTCAATCATGGCATGAGTGCTACAGGGACAAAGTACTGGGACGTTATTAGTTTCTGCCTGGACACCCTGAAAGCCAAACTTACTGTCTTACATGTCGAAGAGTGTCGGCTCTGTGGATAAACACAGGGTAAAAATAGTCACTGAGGAGAATTAACGTGTCCAAGGAAGTGGCTCAAAGTCATCCTTTGTGCGATGAGGGGAAAGCTCTGGCTCCATTGACAGGGCCTGGACCTCTCGAGAGGAATTTTGTCAACCTGCCACCACAAAAAAACTACTTGGCAATCAGAATTATGCTGAATAAAAATAATTAGGCCTACTACATCACTTAATGCAGGCACTAAATGACAGATTCAGAAACTGGCAGCTGGCCAGAATAAATGTTCCCATTTGCCTATTAATGAGTTAAGGCTACCATTAAAACCAGAGTAGCGCCTCGGATGTATGCTTTGATAAGAGCTATGTAAACCTGATACAGTCAGTCACGTGACAGAATTCCTTATACAAGTTTACACCACTACTGTTTTCTTTCCTCATGATCAGACCCCTACCGTAAAAGCCTTTTATTCCATCAATGCTCAAGACATTGCTTTCAAACTATCTTGTTGATCAAAACTTTAGGTTAAGCCATTCGAACAAATGTTTTTTACACAAAATACTTACTTCAACAACATACAAAGCACTTTCTTTATCTTTCAGAAACTGAATATACAAAGTAAGCTTTTTCCAAAATATTTCCATAGGCAAAGGATTAAAAAGGATTTTAATTATACACATATGGTCACAATTCTGCCTTAAAAAGATCATTGGGAAATGTACATAAGGCCGCTTGTAAATGTACATCATCTTTATGTTACTGTTACAATGTCATATGTCCAGAGAAAAAAATTGACAGTATCATACATATTTGCTTTACGCTGGGAGAAGGCTATTCAAAAATACAGTACTCTTCTGTACAAAAAAATCATGCCACATTTATTAAGATGGAAGAAGCATTGGTTTCTGTGATAACCAAATATTTCAGTCCACTTCTTACTATGCTTATTATCCCGACTTAAAATTTGAACAGACTGATTTCCCAAAGTGTCCATATTAACAGAATCAACAGCTATGTTATAAACAAAACATAATGTTTCTCACAATAGATAAAAAGAAAGCCGGTTCATATTTCTGAAACCATATAAAGATAGAATTTAAAAAAATCACTCTTGATTTGCTGAAATAAATTTACATTATACAACACTATATGCCAGGGGGAGAAAAGGGAACGGGGATATGAATATACACTAAAATGCAAATTTTTGTCCCAAAAAGGGGTAAAACAAATTACATTTACAGCATGAAGGTTTACAAATGTACATCTGTACAACCAAGGTAAGCGTCACTACTAAATTAGCAAGGCTTGTAATAAACATCAAAACTGTAAACTTACACCTATTAACTACACGTATACAATGCATATATTTATAGGAAGCAAAAAAGCTATCTGAATATTTAATCAATCATGCTTAAATGTTGAGCTATCAAGTTTAATTTTCAGTGGCCCCTTTTCTCTCCATCAATACCTATTTTTTGCATCTACAGTGAGGAAGCAAAATAAATGCTCAACACTTTCAAATCCTTACAATTCTATATGCAAAATAAAAAAATACAAATCTCTACTCTGCCTGCATTGTAAAACTGACTGTAAAGTTAATACAGGGTTCACTCATTTTCCAACAGTGTACTGTACTGAGTGGAAGTACCACCATCATTCCTTCCCTCTACCTTGTACAACATTTAAATATATAAGTATATACAGCACTTTTATTTTTAATACATCGCTAGAGAAAACCTTAGGGCATCATTTAAAAAAACCCAGCTGTATCCACAGCAAGTGATGAAAGCTCGTCTTTTAAAGTTTCCTTTTTTTTTTAATTTTTAATTCTCTACTTTAATTTGCTGTGCCCTGTTTATTATTTGGATAGTACGTTGTGAACCACCAAAATACAACTTAACTTTTCAACATGTTAAATAATGTTTATGCAATTGATCAATTTTTTTATCTGGTATAAAAGACTTCACACAAAAGGGAAAAATAAGGATTAATTCTATATACAACTCTACAAACCTGTTGTGCTATGATGCTGGGTAGACCTACCAGATTGCAAGCCAGTGTATTAAAAGAATACTGTACTTTTTCCCTTTAAAAACTATTTCAGTGACTTTACAAGGTAAAAATTTACAAAATATGAGACAGCTATTTTGATACAATTACATCATATACAGGCGTTCTGTGCTTTGCCAGCCATCCAATCTGATAGGTCTCCGGATCAGGGCTGGAGATATTTTTTTCTTTTTTTTATTTTTAATAATTCACTCCCCAAAAATATACACAAGAATAAAAATTTTACAAATGGATGAACAAAGTCAATAAATAGATTTAAAAAAATCAGAACATTTATAGTTAAGTTGTATGTTTTGATCATTCACAATTCAATTTTTTTTTTTTTTTCCCCCATTTCTTTTTGTCTTTCACAGCATCCCGTTTGGTGGTCCGCCAATTGGCCCCAGATCAGTGCTGTTCTTCAGGTAATACTTCTCCAGCTTGGCCAGAATGTGTTTGCCATAGGTGTATTTACGCAGAGTTGTGATGTGGGGTCGAATCTGGAAGAAGAAACTTGTTATTTATTCCTCCCTCCCTTATAAAGTGTAAGCAGAGGTTACTACACTTGAAAAATATTATGTTAAAAAAAAAATGTCAGAAGGTTGTATTTCAAAATTTTGGAAGCTTCTGAAAAGATGCAAAAATGGTGATTTTGACTCATCAAACAACTGACATTCCTGTCAGATTACAAGGAAGGCAGCCCTTCTGTGGCAGTGCCCTTAGTGACTGGGGGAAGCAGAGCTCCTGCAGGAATATACTGTGCCCTGCGTGAAACAGCCTCGGGCCATCGTGGCAATAGCACTTTTGTCCGTGTCTGGATATTTGTAAGTAGAAAATGTGCCTGTACGGTTAGGAAGTGTGGGAATTTCTTCTGGGGGAACTGCAGAATGGATTTATACCAGCAACTGGCAAATAAAAAGAGAAACCTGTATTTCTTCTGTTATATTAATAAAGATGACAGATACTACATTTTTATATTAAAAGTACTTTAACAGAAAAGCTGGCACAAAGAGAGGATATGAAATCCAATTTTTGGAACATTTCTGTATTTACATTTTTAGCTCAGTGCTCAGAAACCTGAATATATTCTGCTTTATCAATCTCCACTCAGTTTAATGTTTATACATTAAGTTCTAGATTACAGAACTGGTGAGTTTTACATCTAGAGGGAAAGGCATTCTAGCAGAAAAATGAGTATAGATAATATCTTCTGCACGAATAAAACTATATACAAATATACCTTGTGCATTATTATTTTCCGTTGAGCAGGTTCAGCCATATCAATCATCTTCTGAACAACATAGTTGGCGTACTGGTCCTTCATCATGGTGTATAAGGCACTGTGAGGACCATCATTCTGGCAACAGACCTCATCAATAAGTAAAGCTCTTTCAGCACGAGAAGCATGAGTTACGCATTTTTCTACCACATTGCTGAAAAATAAGACAAAAGCATTTTGTGACTGAAGATGTAACATTCTTTTAAGCAGCAATTTTAAATTTATCTGAACAGTTCAGGTGTCTCAACACCACTAAAGAACGCACTGTAAAGGCATCAAGTCCTGATTTCCAAAACTTTTATAGTCTGTAATGACTGGGGAAGTTAAAGGATTATATATATACTCCTAACTCATGTAAAAGAAGTAATGTTCTGATACTTATTATTAGATTTTCCTCTGGACCTACAGTAGATCTACCGGACCTCAGGTTGCAGATGTATTCTAGTACATCTATTTCGGTTGTGGGCCCTTTTAAGACACAACAGAGAAAGCCAGATATGATGCCTCCTGCTTTTCAAATAAAGGCATTTTTCAGGAGCATGCCTAGATCAGAGGCACTGTCGCGTATTTCTTTTTGTTGAGGAAGTCTCTGACCTCCCAGGTATCTCAGAAGCTGGAAGGGCTATCAACGCTTGCAAGACAGCAAAGCGATTCTGGTCCTAAATTTGGGCTTTAGAAATTAAGCAGCTTCCAAGGAGAGGATTATGAACAGTTCTATTTAGGCAAAGAAAAATAAAATCCAGATAAACTTGCGAGTTTGCATACAATAATTTTTTTAAAAAAATGCCCCCATAATATCACAGTGCATTTCTACTCAACGTGGATGAGTTTAGTCTCACCCAACATCCAGGATGAATCCTGAGGTGTGTGTAGCAAAATGCACATAATCTGTATTTCAGCAAAAAGCACTGAGGGATGAGTTTTAGGTTGTAATTTTTCAGCAGTTCAGGACTCCTACAATAGTCTCAGAGACTCCCTAATGCATCAAATCCTTGTCAGGCTGAACCACCACTGTTTAAAGCTAGCCTTTTATTCCTGTAAATTGCTTGGCTGGACTAATAGTCAGGAAGTTAGTCCCAGCTTATCATCATCAGCTTATCAAGCAGGTTCTAGGAGAGCTTTTCACCTGGTTCTGAGGAGCCTCACATGGAGGCTTGGAACCCATTCCCTGCACTTGTGCAAGGTGAACAAAAAGCATCTCATAAACCTGGGGAAACTTCTTTGATTTGCTCCAGAACAGCATTTCCCACCCCCAAATCTAGTATAAAATAGTACTACTGTTCATCTCTATAAAAATATTAAATTTCAGGAAGCAAGTTATACAACAGAAAAAAACCCCATCAAATCCTTTTTGTAACACAATAAACAAATCCAAAACTACAGCTTTAAAAGGTTAGTGAACCTTTAATAATATGAAGGCTGTGCAATACCTGGCAAATTTGTGCTGACTCAGAGCTAGAACTTTTCCTCTTATTTCTGAAACTATTTTACTCTTGTCTTCAGGACGACCGTGCTCCAGCACATGCTGAATAACGTAATTTCCATATTGATCCTGAAAATAAGATGACTTCAATTTTCTTTTGTGTTCATACCAAGTAATCCATACAGTTTTTGTATATTTGTATAAACGTTCAAATTACTATTTGCATAGACATAAGGAAAAATACAGTAATGTCAACATTACAGAAACAAAGTGATGCAAGAAACATTGCATCACGAATGGCTTAATGGACCACTAAATTTACATGCAAAATGTAAATAAACTGTAAAAACAGCATTTTGCTAGAGTCTTTTATCCTCTTAAAGAAAGAAGTCCTCAAAATTAACATCATCATTCTTTAACAGCCATAATATCTCCCTGAACTTTGGCTGCCCAAGACAGTTATGTTTTAACTAGAGACTTGTATATACAAGAAACCACTGAGAAATAAACTAGACTGAATAGCAAAAGGCAACTCTTGCCTTTTTATGTGTGGAAGTTCCTACTGAACACCAAGCCCATTCCAGTATTTTAAACTGATTCAATTCCAAAGCCATTTGTAGCACTCATTTTGTCTGTCTGAGACCAAGGCAGGAAATTATGTTGTATAAAGTCTTTTGCCCTCTTTTAGAAAAGATGCCCTTTTTTGTGTAAAAATATGCAACATGTATATTTGTGACAATGTATTTGTGTTTAGACATCATTAGAAGTTATCTGAAGGACACCTGAGCGAATCAAGACAAACTACAAAAAGGCAATCTTTGCAATAAAAAATAGACTAATTCTGTACATTTACAATGTATATTCGAAGCTACAGCCAAAAGTGTAAGAAAAAGGCTTTTTATATCTTCTTTGCCTCCCAACTTCCAAATTCATTTTCATTAAAACTATGGAAGGAAAGAAAAACAAAAAATCAATGTCTACAAAACTAAAAAAAGGCAAATGCATTTAAACTATTTTTTAAACTAAGAAATAGGAATAAATTATCACAACAACAAAAAAACTCTAAAACGCATTAAAAAATTAATATATGCACTAACCTGCACTAGCTGTTCTGTGTGTTGATGCAGTTCTTCTAAGATTGGCAAAGTTTGCTCAGCAGTACAGTGCTCCAGAATACGCTGAATTACTCTACAACCATATGGATGAGTTGAAAGTACAAATACCTTAAAATAGGATTGCAAACTAAAGTTAAACCAACCGAGTTTACAGATACAGAAATATTACCATGTTCAAAATGGAACTGAACACGTCAACTCCTTCTATGAAAAATAAAGAAGTTTTGCCTGCCAGTATCAGAATTCTATCTCCAGCAGAAGTCAGGAGAAGATGAAAATGCAGGTTTTCTGCTCATCAGGGACTCCAGTAATTATACAACTAAGAACCCAAGTGTTCATTACAATGTTTCTAGCCTACTTAGCTGCAAAAGGAAGCTAGGACACACGACCCTTAGTTAAACACTCTTCAGCTTTCAAGCTTCCCTTTTAACTTTGTACTTCATTTTCCAATTTTAAGACTTTGACATTTATAAAAAGGAGTTCAATTATTGTGGTTGACTTTCACATTCTAGCACATACAACAGGCTCCCTGTTACAAAGTTTGTAAATAAGTATTCAAAACATACAGTTAAAGTCTTGCTTATTCCTTTTGCTTACTTCTCCAGAAGCCAGGTTTGTGTTTCAGACTAATTCAGAAGATTTAAAGTTGGTGTTGGTCAGAACTGAACACAGAATCTTGTCTGATTAGACACAGATCCAAACGATGCAGGCAGGTGAAAGAGGTATGTGTCGTTACACGACGTGAATGAAGTGTGGTATTTTTCATTTGCCACTTCACATTAGCTAATAGTTTTTATATATAATTACTCGGAGCTGAGGATGGATGTTCAGTAAAAAAACAGTCACATTTAGTAAATGGGCTCTGTTTACAGTTTAGAAACTGTATCTCATCTACCCCATATACATTTTTTAATGTAAAAAGACCCGAACTGAGAAATGTTGGTATGACATTTACTACTATGTACAACAATAATTCAGGTGCTGCTGTTGTGTAAAATGTGACAGAAGGATATTGTAGATTTTGTTAAGAAATACATTTGGCAATCCATTAAAGTAAAATTTGGTAACACAGCCAAGTTAGTAAGATTTTTATAATTCTTCTCAAGACTATAAAAGTACATGTTTGTCTCAGAGTATTAAAACCTTATTTTAGTTGCAGCATATTCTTTAGCCTGCAGCACAATATCAATCTTATATTAATAACTTTTTTGGAAACAAAACAAAAACTCCAACCTTAAATAAACAAATACCACTGCCCTTCACTTAACACTAGCCCATATGTCAGGAACAGATTAGTCTATTTCTTCCAAGTATTTCCTTAATGATAGACATTAATTGGGAAACACTGAACAACAGACTTGCAACGCAAGCAACAGAAGAAAAAAAAATTGGAAATTTTAATAAAAAATATACACTAGAAAGCAGATACTTTATTATTACATCAAAAATGGCAATGTCAAAAGTTATAAAGGAAATCTGAAATGGTACAGCACAAAACTCAAAAGAAAGCGTGCCCTTAAGACAAATACCTCTATTGGTATTTATAACACATCCAGACAGAGCCTCATCTCCAAGACATTTTTACAGCATGTTAACTGTCTCTTCAACAGCTTTTCCATTTTATCATCCCTTTTTTTATCCTACAAAACAAGCTGACTGCAAAGTATCAAACACTATATTGTATATGCAAACGATGGAAAAAGACCTGTGAATCAAAGCAACCTTACAGAAGAGGAAAGGAACTGTTGACACTACCTGTCCTTTGAACGCGTCAATGATGAACTGGAGTGACTGGGGTTGAACACACTCAATACATTTTTGCACAACATGGTTTCCATTTTGATCTTTCACACATTTCAGAACATGACCATCCAATTCTTTCACCATTTCATTCTGGAAAAGAAGATTATCCTTATCTTTACAATGATTTTTATTCCCCCCTCAAAGGAATATTCCATTTCATCCCAACTATCCAATATCCATATTCACTGGTGGTTTACTTGTATAGCTTAGCAATTTAATTTAAACAACTATTTTAGCCCCTAAGGTATTTCATAATGAAAGGAACGATCAATAATTTAAGCAAATAAAAAGATGGATGCAATAAAAAGAAGTATAATTTAAAAAGTATTGCTCTAACTTACAATTACCTGCTGGTCAGGTGAGATTGACTCAAGTGCTTTCTGAATAACACGACAGCCGTACATCTGCAGGGCTAATGGCAGAACGTGACCACGAATGCGTGTTGCTAGGGCTAACTTCTGATCCAGGCTTCCAAACTAAAAGAAAATAAATATGCTGTTAACAAACAAAGGCATATTGCAGCAGCATGCTGGAATTTACATGTCAGACAAAGTACTTTCATGATGTATTACAGGTTCACTGTGCGCCCCGAATGATTTTTCCCTTTGTGTTTCTGGTGTGTATATTTACCAGCAGCTTTTATATTCTAAATGCAACATTTTGTAATATTCCATATTCCAGTTACACACCTGCTGTCAAATGCATGACCTTGAAAGACAACAGAAGAAATCGAAGTAGTTTACACTTGACTGACTGTAGGAAAATTTAAGTGCAATAACCCACTTATTTAGACAAATTATACCAGGCAAATTAATTACAGATTACTGTAACATATAAATTCTAATCAGATTTTCTCTGATATCTCAAATTTGTATGGGTCAGTGTATCTTACAACTTGCATACAGTAAGGAAGCTGCAACAGGAGGGGGC